GCTAGGAGACATTCCCGGATGCTTTTGGTGAGCCATGGGGGCTTATGTGCCCTCCTGCTCCTTTTGATCCGTGTTGGGATTACCTTCCTTTGGGCTTGGAGGATCGTCTTCTTAAGGGGTGGGGGGCAGGGAGGCCCCCCTGCACATTCCCCAATGAACCCAGAAGTGGACTGGAAGTGCTTCTGGCGCACTTCTGGGTCTGCTGGGGAGCCCCTTGTGCTCCTGTGGGATGCTCCATCTGCCCCAGCATTGCAGTGTTGACGAGCTGCCTGGTACCTTGAGGTATGTAGAAAAAACATTTAAAGTTGCGTCTATGTCCAAATCTCTCTGAATCTATTCGGAGGGTTCCAATTCGATCTGGAGAGATTAAAGGGTCTCCTGGTTCGATTTGGAGATTCGGCCACCGAATCAGGGACCAAAGCTTCACACAGCCCTACTGCAAAGCTCTTTTTGTTTTGCTTATTTAGACTGAAGGTTAGCAGCCTTCTGCCCACAGATGTGGAGCATCAGTGGCGTTTAGCTCAAGCCACTCTCCCTGTGCCACCCTGAGGAGAACAGTGCTAGCCCATCTGCCCACCTCTGTTGTGAGTCATTATAGCTTACAGACAGAAAAATTTGCCTACCTCTGATATTAGACTGTTAGCTCTTGAGTACAAGAACTATCACATGATTATTTGTATGAAAATTACCTACCACAAGGGGACTTTATCTCAGTGTCTAAGTGCTACTATGATGCTAGGAACCCTGCCAGACATACAGGTAAAGGTGTGATGGGATTTGATATGAGATCCACACAGTTGCACTTCCTGCCTGTGCCACATGATTATGGGATTTAGGATCAGATCCCATCATGTCTTATTGCCAGTGCAGGGGAATCTTGAGATCATGATGTTGGGCTTCCTCTGTACTAGGAAGTAGCAGGCTACCACATCTGGAAACCCTTTCAGCTGATCTGGACTCCCAGCTGCGGGGATGCACCTAGCCACACATTCAGTTAATGACATGATAGTATCCAGCCACAAAATTATTACACATTTTGGGGGGGGAATAACCTGGCTTATTCATTACTACATGATGCCATTAGTTGCTTTAACCACGGCTGGGTCATAGCCTGTGATGTAGTTAACTGGTTAATCACGTTTTAAGTGTAATATGTGGGAGGGGCCTAGTATACCTACCTTTAATATTGTTCTGTTGTAGGCCATTTTTCCGAAATTTGGTTTTAGTTGGAAGTATTTGTCTCTAAGGGTGTCTATACAAATTGCTGCTCTAATTAAAAAGCCAGTACCATGTGTATTAAGCCCCCGCGCATTTAAAAGTGGCCCTGGTATGCTTTAACTAAAGCTCATTCAGTGAGCTTTAGTTAAAGCACCCCAGCAGCCATTTTTAAACCTGCAGGGGCTAATACACATGATGCTACAGCAGTGCTAGAGCGTTGTAATTAGTCTAATCAAGTCTGCTTTAATGAGTTATAATTCAAACACATCAGAGCACGTGTTTAGTGTTTAGATTAATGCTGCTTTAACGATTTTCATTTCAGTATATGATGATTCTCATACATGTACACGAAAAACAATAAATCTCAGAAATGGATAGAGTTTTGTCAAAGAATCAGTATTTTTGCTTCTGGGTAAATAAAATGTACGTTCTAACATGTTTTAATGCATTAAAATGATCTTCCTTTTTGTCTTTAATGATACATTTATATTCTCAATACTGTTCTATTGAAAGATGGAATATTTGTTATCAGATTTTTCAGACATTCCATATCCTGATTGGTGTGGACAGACCATCCATAATCACTTAGATGTGGTTTCTCATTCCTCAAAGTTTTCTGGGATTTCAGGCTGTAGTGATGCAGTATCCCATGGTTCAGCTAGTAGCACCAAGAGTACAGATCTTGTACTAGGTAAGCTGGAATACCATTTTATTATGTGAAAAGTACTTAATCTGTAACATTTTATTTTATATTTAGATATTGCAAAAAAGGCATTCTGTTTTTCATTCTCCACCATAAAGCAGTATAATACCTTTTAAAATATTTTATGATGCTTCTATCAACTAGCAAAGAGCTGGTGGGGTCAAAGATAAGAGCGCCAAATTAGAAGCTATAGGTGCATCTTCCAGTCTGCCACGTAGTCATTGCAGCCTTTTGGAACTCAGTTAACCTTTCTTTGCCTTAGTTTAAATCGATATACCCCTCCCATTTTTCTAGTGTTGCTATCTTAAACTGTTAGTAATTCATATGAATCTTGAACATTTTATCCCGTACTTTGGATTTTTGGAATAGAACAGGAACCATATTTAGACACTTTGATAAATGCTTCTATTTCTTTAAAAATAAAATATTATGGAAGATATTTGTAATTTATATTGAATCGGCTGGTGGCTAAGATTTTGAATTAAGATTATTACTTGACAAATAAAGTAGATCCTTGCCAGCGTAGACAGTTTATAATTCATCCACAATGACAGACTTATCTTTCAGTTGAATTGGGAGTTTTCAGTAGCAATGTGATACAACTCAACACCACAGTTGAGTTTTCCAGCACTAACACTGAAATTCTACAAAATATATTACACCGCATTTCTGAACTTCTCATCTACTTTTTTCACAATAAGCTGGTATTGTGTTTAAGTGAATGAAAAATTATGTAGCGCTCCTTGATCTTTGCATTTTTAACAAGATTGTTGGAAATTCATCAAATACAGTAATTTTTGAGAGTTAGCAGACTTGTTTGTACGGTATACAGTAATCCCATTTAGCCCAATGAAAGTATGCCCTGTGTCAGTTTCATACAATGAAATCTGTTTTCTAAAGGGGTCAAAGCTATCCCAGATGATACACCAGTGTGCCGTATACTGTTGCGGAAAGAAGTCTTACGTTTAGTAATCAATTTGAGCAGTTCTGTGGGAACAAAAGGCCATGAGACTGGGCTCCTGACGTAAGTAAAATGTGTCTTTTGTATTACAATTTTTACCAACATTCAGTATAAATATGTTGTAAAATTCTTACAATTTGTATTCATATCTTTCTGCTGGCTTCAAACTCCATTAAAACAGTTTACACCATAGATCTTTAGCAAAGGATTGCAGTAATAACTGCAAAAATAAGCACTGCATTAGGCATTGTTGCACAGTTTTGTTAGAGCTCTCTCCCATCCCATGAGTGAGGATCCAGGATGGATAAGACATGTTTATACTTTGGCAGCAATGTGCCACAACAGGGATGTTCTTGAGGACCCCCTGCCCCCCAGCTTCTGCATGCACTCTTTAAACTCAGAAATGTGCCTGTGACCATCAGGGTGAGTGGACAGGGAGTGCAGCACCGACATGCATGCTTTCATCTCTAGCTCTGAAAAATCTGCCTGTTAAGATTTATGGTTAAACCATACCACATAGATTCATAGCTGTTTGTTCAATTGTTTCATAATAATGCACTGACCATTATGAGTTGTTTTCATTAAACATTTTCTGTATGCACTGTACTGTGGGTACATTCAAAACTTGCCAGTTCAAGATACTGTATGAAAAATATAGATATTTCTTGAAGACTGGTCAGCTTCAATATTTTATTTAGCATAGTATGAGCCAGGGATGACCACAGTTCCAACCCTTCTAGCTGTGAACCAATATCTTGAAATGGCTGAGAACCACATGATATGCAGCCCTTGAGGTGTGCATGCCCCAGAATCTGTGACTTGGATGCATTGCCCCAGCTCAAATAATTTGTCATTAAGTGACTTTGTAAAATAAATAATTAGCAAAAACTGAAGAAAATCAAAATGTAATAAATTAAAAGATACGTGTGTGTGTGCACTTGTCTGTGTGTTGTTGAACTTCTTTCTTCAGCAGCTGCCAGCAACTCCATGAAGCTTGTGAGTCAGTTTGAGAATCCCTGGCATAAGTAAATTAGCCACTTTATGAATCGATAGCTAGTTTTTTTCTTCATATCTAATATCTGTTAAACAAGATCAAAACCATGTACTTACTTAAACCATGTAAGCTCTTATATTTTAATTGGAGTTTGTCAGTACATTGGGAAAATTCTTCTGGTTGCTCAATATTATGATAGAAATTTAAGCTTCCATAGTGCAGCTGGTGAAAACTTATGCCATGTTTTGGCAAGATGGCTGCTAGCAGGCAGGTTTGAAATGCCCATTTTAGGTATTATTTTTAAAAACTTGATGACTTAAGTCCTCAGCATATTAATTTTCTTGTTGCTGAATGGCAGACAAATAGTGTGCGTTTATTTTAACCACACTTGATACTGTCAGTTAGGTCAATATTTTGTTCTGTTCTTTGACTTGTTTGTAAAAACAGAACCTACCCTCAGAACTTGAATAGCGTCTTCAAATGTGATATTGTTTATATAGTCATATGCAAATTCATTTAGAATGTATTTCCTTTAGTTGGACACAAGGTAATAGCTAATATGTCAAATTGCTTGTTGTGCCTAAAGAGTAAAATAATAATAAGCTTGGCAGGTCATTTGAATTGCGTACTCCTCCTCTTTGTATCTTGTTGATTGTTTCGGCTCATTGAATTAATAAGCCTCAGCTTCTGCAGTTAGATTTAAATGTCATTAACTATCTTGAGCAGCATGTAATTTAACAGTTCTTAAAATATAATAGAATTTGAAGTGAGATCATATTTAAAATGCCTTTTTTTCCTGTTGATCAGCATTAAGGAGAAATACCCCCAAGCATTTGATGATATATGCCTTTACTCAGAGGTGTCCTACTTGCTAGCACACTGCACATTTCGCTTACCATCTCGAAGATTCATACAGGAATTATTTCAAGATGTACAGTTTTTACAAGTAAGTGGAGGTTTGTTTTAGATGTATTGACATCACCAATACAGGTTCCATGGTTAAACTGAGCAGTGCTTTTGTGCTTATTTTATAGGCTAAAGAATCTAACAGTTAGAGAAACATCTAACACATACTGTGCATCCTCTTTTCCCCTAGATGCATGAAGAAGCAGAGGCTGTTCTAGCAACACCGTCAAAACAACCAATAATTGATACATCAGCTGAATCCTGACCTCAGTTTTGTTTGTTGTGCAGTGTATGAACTTGTTAAAAGCCTCAGATGACTTCTGATTGACCGTACAGCAGAGATTAGGAGGATCATCTTCTAGACTGTTCCAGAAGTCACTGATACATGAAGAGTGAACGAAAGATATTTTTTCTCAACAAATTACTGCCCCTTTCCTCTGAGCCCTTTGGGGAATCGATAACATTACCATAGTTTTAATAATAGTAATTACCAATATATGCAAGAGCCAAGCACTGAACACCTGCCACAGATTTTCATTTTCTTTTTTAACATGACATTTAAACATAGGACAGTCTGCAGAAACATCTTTTACATGGTTGACTTGGAATTCTGTTCCAGGTAAGCAGATTGATGCCTTGCATTTTAACCCTTGGACACCAGACATCAGGGTAACACGAAGCTCCTTTCCATTTTCAACAATGGAAGCATGCTATTACCGTGGAAACCAGGGGATTAATTTTGGCCCGTCTGTGTTAGTTTTCTTAATGTTTGTAACACTACTTGGGGGATTTATAATCTCAGACAGAAAGGAAAGCCTCTATGAATCTGGGGTTTTCTCATAAGTTATTTTAATGTCACTATAGTTGCAAGAGTTCTTATTTTATTAGCAGTCTCTCCAGTTTTGTTGCATTTACTTATATGATGTTATCTGAATGAGGTAAGGATTTTCACTACAGTTTGATTTGAAAATGAGAAATACTTTAGGTTTAAATCAACTAAAATCTGATTGTTTTCCCTGACCATTATGCATGTATTCTTTGGAGTTTCTACACTCATGTTCATGTAGAATGAACGTTGGTCTTATTCCTAAATGATAATCTCTAACCAGTATGATTTGTGTCAGATGGGGTGAATACTGTATCAAATAACTTGAATACATTTGATCATTGCTGCTTTTGAGGGAAGACTTAGTAAATAGGCAGTTTCCACTTTCCATGGCAGCAGGGTGTTTTTCTAAAATGAAGATTTGCTTGAATTTTCAGTGTATGACTGGTCAGTCAGTAGATAATGCTAATAATTGTAGTGAAAAGCCTTAAATACCAAATTTTCAAGCAGCAGTACTTTAATTTTCTATTGATAGTCTTTAGATCTTTTGCACAACTTTTGTGATACAGTGACTGTTAATATGTACAGTAATTGCCTTCACCCTGTTACTAGTGAGGTTGCTAACTTTGAGCGCAAGATGAAAAAAGAAAAACCCCAGTCTTCTCATGCATCTAGAGACTTGAAGTCTTTTTAGCAATTAAATACAAATATATGCAAAATTGTATATATCGTAGCATTGCCACCTGTATTGGAAAGCATGTAATGGAAAGGGTTACCCTTTGATCTTCAGAAGGGTGAGCCATTCAGCAGAACAGTACTAGGTAGAAGACCATTTTTATCCATTTTGAAATCATGCCAGATTACTGTTTTAGGTGTGAGAGAATTTATTCAAATGGCATTGCCACATCTTAACTTATTATCTGTGCTATTGAAAATTTCAACAGGTAGCACTCTAAACTAGTAACAGCAAAAGACAGTTCCTGGTGAAATGTAGAATTCAATTGCTCTTACTGGAAATTCATCACGTGGGTGAAACATTTTCATCTTGCTTTGTAGAATTTGCTTCACTGTGTCATGGTGTGCACTTCATACCAACATGTTACAGTACAGTAGTTACAGTGCTATCAACTTCAGTTCAGAATCAGATCTAGTTCTGTGAGCTTTTCACATGTTCCCACTGAAGGAAAAGCAGAAAAAAATAACTTTGTTGCCATCAGTGACACAACTAACAATGTGTATACAAGACAATTTGATAACACCTTGAAAATAACACCTACCAATAACTATTTGGATTGCTTTGGTCTTAAGAAATAAACATTTCTGCAAAACCAAAATGTCAACCACAGTAGACCAAATAGTGGTATAAACTCCAAAGGAAATAATATAGTATTCCCACCAAAAAATGGGATTAGCATATCTTATACAGTAGTTTAAAACACTACCTCAGTTAGGATAGAGTATAAGATATTTGAGTTAACTCTAGATGGGGTTACATCAAATAACTCCATGTTTATTTTTCTGCAGTTAAGGCAAAATAGATGATTTTTATCACCTGTATTTAAAAAAAATCTGTCACCAGTTTTATCTATAGCACTTAGTGTAAAATGTTAGAAAGGCCTCTTTTTCCCTAAACAAAAAAGGAAGCAAGTGAAGATTACAATGTACTTTTTAAAATGAATGCTACTCTTAACTCCCTTGTGCACCAACATATCTGGATTTCCATCCTCAAGTGCCTACGTGTCCTCAACTGCTCAGTTTTGTGTGGGGAGCCATGGCAACAAAAAAGTTAATGTGCTAATCATTGCTTGAAGTTCAGTACGAATTCTTCAAAATGTATCCATATTGGTAGATTTTAAGAATATTCGTAAGGTGCAGGGGCAGTACCATACAGTTCATCAGTAAGGCATTTCTAGACTTAATTTACATTAGATTCACACTAATATTTAGCTTTAATTAGCAAATAAAGGGCACTGTATAATTTGGAGTAATTTGACATTTGGACAAGTGACACACTGTTCATTCCTAATTTTAGAGTGAATTTCAAACGCATCCCTTTGCAAAGTTTCTCTTTCAAGAACAGGTATTTTGTCACTTTAAAAAAAAATTACATTGAAAAGAAAAAAGTAAGAATCCTAAAATGAAGTTTGAAAATCCTTCCGCTGTTTTAGAAGGGGAAGTGAGAGAAGCCAGCAGCACCTCGTCCCAGCCAGTTTGTATCTTTCCAAACCTAAGATTTGTAATGCTTTTGAGCATGTACTAAAACATGCAGCATTCATGAACAATGCATGCATTCCAGACATACAGGACTTGCATTTGCTGTGATGAAGAAAACTCCAAAGAGTAAATGTTACAGCATAACCAGAACTCTCAGAGGAGGGTGCCTGAAGCACCTTAATCCATATTTAGGCATCTAAAACAGGCCTGGATTTCAGAGGTGCTGAACTCTCCTACCTCAGTGACTTTTCAGTGGGAGTTGCAAACGTTCACCACCTCTGAAAAACAGTCTTTGAAGTGCCTTCCCCTAAGCATGCACATTCGTGCATGCTCAGTAACTCGGGCCATTGCACACACAGTACTTGAAGTACAGAATAGCTTTCCCTCAGCCAATAGTCCCACTTCTGGACAGACCTATAATGATCAAAACTGCTTTTTCAAGTCGCACTAAAATGGTAACGTGTTCAGTAGCTTACACCTTTGAAAAGCTTAATTTTTAGGGTGGGAGGACTGGCCTGAAGAGTTGGGTAGGAGTGTTCAGAGGTAAGTTAGATTTCCTTAAAGTGCACACCAGCAGAGCAAATAAAGGACCAGTCTGAGATTTTTTGTCACTGTACTTAAATGTATGCAGTGACCTTGAAAGTAGGTTTGAAACTAATTTGTTGAGAGAGGGAAGTTGAAGAACAATGGTAACACCTGCTGTTAGCCACATAAGAAAGAGAAATGCCTACTCTAGTTCTCAGACAGTTAGCTCAGGGCTGTTCAACTTCTAAGAAGCCAGGGGCCGGATGCTCAATGGATTGTACCAGTGGATGCCGGTGGCCCCAGGGCTGCACACAGCATGTCCCCCCTGCTGCCCTGCACACCTCTGGGCACTGCCCCTACCCACCTCCCTCCACCCACCATTGCAGTGGGAGCCCCACCTCACCCAAAGCCTCCCCAGCCATCAAGCCTCTCAAACACCCAAGGCCGCAGGGCTTCCCCAGCACTGCAGGCTACACTATCCCACACCCTGGGACAGGGAAGGGGAAGCTGGAAGGAGTGGGAGCCCAGAGACCCAGAGCAATGGAGGGAGGAGGGGCAGCTAGGTAGGAACCTGGGAGCTACAATTTAACCCCTTGTGAGCTGCCATTTCAACAGCCCTGGTAATGAAGTGTGATGAGGTGAAATTGTCAATGCTTCCATTACAGTCTGCACTCGGATCCACAGTTGTGGCTTTTTAGGTAAAGCACGTTTCTGTAACAAGGTGAATGTAAGTCCAAGATGAGGAATCTTAATGAAAGAAAGTTTTATAAGGCTGTAGAAATGTCTTCTACATCCTCTCCTTGCTACCCCTATGGGAAGTTCTGATCGTGCTTCGTTGCAGAGGCAGCTGAAAGAATATAATCTTCTTCAGTGATGCTTTCATTACTATGCACTTACTTAAGGTGTAGTAGTGAGTTGTAAAGGAGTTCTAAGATTGTAAAAGACCTTTGGGAACATTTCTACAGCCTTATAAAACTTTCTTTCATTAA